GGTTTGTTTTTGTAAAACCAATATTCTGCTAGGTTGCTTCCAACAATATAGAATTCTATGAGTTTCCTAATTTGGAATAGGTATTTCCTTTGTACAACAATTTCAGTTAGTTTCTTGTTATTTATAGTTTCAAAGATTATGCTTGCTCTTTTGAATAGGAGAGAGTATTCGTAGTTCTTATAGGCTTCGATTAGTGTGAATTGTCCTTGTAATATCTGGATCTGAATTTTATCTGGTCAAGGAGTTTCTGTAATTTTATATCATGTTCTTCTTTTGATAGTATTTGTTCGAGAACATTGTCTTGGTTAGATTCTTAGAGATCTATATAGTCTTTTGTAATACTTCTCAGAAATTTCTTTTGTTCATATATCTCTGGGTTCATTAACTAATGTTTCAAAATATGATCAAGGGTGTATTCCTTTTTCTTTGGTTGGGGTCTCTGTATTTTATAGAATTTAGTGTTTAGGCAAGTAATTCTCTTCCACTTGCAATGTTTACAGTTTTTTCTTGTTTGGAGTAATCGCAGCGTATGTGTTTAAGTCTACAATTGTCACAAGATTTGGTATTTCTTTTGTTGTTTCTTGAAGTATTTTTCTTTTTTATGTGTATACTCTGAGCATGTAGGTTCAAGGTACAGTTCTTGGTCCTTTTATAATTTTCCATTCAATATAGTTCAAAGTTCTTTATTGTTTTATTTAGTTCATTGATAAATAATATTATTAATATACAATAGAAATATTTTAAATAATATTGAATATAGATATATTATTTAATAATTTATGTATTTAATAAATATTTATATTTGATTGTTCAGAATCTATTGTTGTATTTTGCTTTGTGGCTTCTGAATTGTCTTGCGTATTTCATCTCATCATCTTCATCTTCTGATGGGTCTTCAAGGTTTATGTAATCTTGGGTATCTTTCAGTTTTCTTTTTAATTTCTGGTTTTTATTTTGGAGTTCTAGGGTCAACTGTTCCAAGATTGTGATCTTTTTTACAAGGGCCTTGTTTTCTTGTGTGAGCCTAAATTGTTGTTCTGCCATTAATCCGAATATGGTATATAATTCTTTAATCTTTTGACTGATATTATTCCGGTAAAGTAGGTCTTGACCATGGGATTTCTTCAATTTTTCTTCATGGTCTGTTTGATTATTAGGTTCTTGTTCTTTGGATAATTCAAGATCCTTTCATACTTCATCATGTATTTCTTTTGAGGTTTCTTTTTTGGGCTTTTCAGGGTGTGGTTCATTAAATTCTTCTTCTGTGATGAGGTTAACAGCTGTTGTGTCGATTTCTCTTTGGAAACCTTTACAATACCCTTTTTCATTTTGTTCTTTAGGCATTAGGCATTCCTTGCAGAGTGATATGTTCACTTGCTTTCGTTTCTTTAAAAGTTCTTTTACTTTTTCTATTTCTTTACGTATTTCTTCTTCAGTCATTGGCCTGGTTCTAACATCTTGGTTTATCGATAAGAGTCTTGCTTCGCACAATTCTGGATCTTTATCATCGTCCATTAGTTCTTCATATCCGTCACTTTCTGATTGTAGTTCGTTATTAAAAAGGTCTTGTCTGTAGATTCTGGTAAAATAGTTAATCCTAATTGGTCTGTTTTCTTCATCAATTTCAGGGTCATTAAATGTATCATTATTATATTCATTATCCATTTTCTTGAAATCTTCATCTTCATGGTACCATTTGTTTATGTTGTCTTTGTATTGTGTTATATATCTAACTATCCTCTTGATTCTTGATTCATTGATATTGTAAATAATGTTTGTATTATTTCTAGTAAAGCATCTGATTCTGTTATCAAGTTGTTGGTTTGTCAGTCAGGGTTCATGCTTTTGAAGATTATTTGGGCAAATTTATGTTCTTTGTTGCAAAAGTGCATTCCATCATGGCTTTCCATTTTCCAGGTGATGTTGGGTTTTTCACAGAGTCATCAAATAGTTTTCTTTCCTTGTCCAGGTCCTGATGTAAAGTACATTTTGATTTTTGGGTTTTTAAAATCCAATGCTTCATGCATTTCAGAATAGCATCCTTTACAATAAAGTGTTTCTTCAATATAGATTACTTGGAATGTGTATGGGTTTATAAATAGTCCTTTGATGTAATAAAGATCTTCTTTAGCTGTCGGTCTATTATATTCTTTCCTGCAACAGTGATGTTTATCATGCTGTTCGTTGTATGTAGCCCAGTTGACGTGTTCTTCCCTTCTTTGAATAATTCTTTTAGGGTTATATTTGCAAAAGAGGTTTGCATTTTCTTTTAAGAGTCTAGAGGTCCTACATTAATAATTTTCATATCAGTCATTTTATAGTAGGTACAATACTTAGAAGTTGTCATAGTCATGTTGGTACTACTGTTATTGATATTGATTGGTTGATCATTTTTATTTCTTGCTTCAAAACAATCACATGCCTGATGTCCTTTTTCGTGACATCTATAACATTCATTCTCAGGGCAGTATCGGTTAGTATGTCCGGGTTCTTTACAGATATTGCAGATATATTTTCCAAAGTTCTTTTGCTTTTTTTGATTTCATGGAAAGTTTCTTTTTCTTTCCCTTTGTTAAGTCCGTTATTGAGTCCAAGTTCATTTCTAATTTCCTAAGTCATCTTTTCTTTCTAATCTTGAACATGTTTAATTTCTTCGAGAGCCGTTTTAATGATATTGTAATCACATTGGTTCCTTTTGAGGTTTTCGACATAGAGGTTGCATTTTCTGCAGTAGTAGTTTCTAGTTCCTTTGGGGTTCATTTTATTTTAGGGTTTTTAGATTTGTAGTTCAGGGTTTAGATTTGTAGTTCTTGTTTTTAGGGTATTCTTAGTTTTTTCTGTAAGTTCAGTTTATTCTTCAAGTTGGTTCAGCGGAGTGTGCTTTTATAACTTCCAATTTTTCTTTTTGTTTACTTATTAATTATTAGTAAGGGTTACCCAGTATCATACTCTTCAATGAGTTCAATAATATCTTCATATTTGTTTTGTAAACATTCTATATATGCATTCCATAGGCGTTGTTTATTCTGTTTGTGCCAGATTTGTTCAAGTAAATAATTTGGTAAGTCATCCTTATTCCAATTCCTTTTTGGTATTGCGTCCTTTAACACGCGCTATGTTGTTTCAATGTTATTGGTATGATAGATTTTTAATTTGTTCGAGGTTTCATTATAATCAATCATTGTCATTCCTTGGCTGTGGTTTATTTGGTGATGTCGTATTCCTAGGTGTGAGTAAATTTGATCATAGCTCTTAAACATGTCTGAGTAGATTATCGATCTGGGGTGTACATATTTCTGAATTAGATTTAATAAGGTATCAGCTGTTCGGTCCTTATAAATTTGTGCAAATATTTGTTTTTTTTTAGTTCTTTCAATTCCTTCAAATACCTATAATTGTTCTATTTTGTTTTGATGATTTTTGTAAAATAAGGATTCATCTATTTCTACAATGATATCTGGTCCTTCTATTTTTGTTTTACTAATTCTTATCTCTTGGGTGATAACAGTTCTAAAGATTTGTGTTCATCTTGTTATGTTGGTGGGTGCGATATTGGTGTAAATATTGAGTTGTTTACGCGTTGCTTTCTTAACCAAAAAATAGCTTAATTCTATTATTTGGTTACATTTCAATTTAGCCTTTAAAAATATTGTTCCATTAAAGATTGATATTCTTTTTTAGCATTCAATTCTTTGTCATCAAATTTCATATTTGGTTTGTTACAATAAATACAAGTCATAGTTCTTGGTAGTATTGATAAGTTCTGCAAGTATTCTAAGCATCTTGATTCATTTTTAATTATTTCTTTAATTTGGTGCAAAGGTAGTATCGGTGTTATTAAGTGTGCCATTTAGATGTCAAATGATACTTGTTTGAATGTTTTATCGATCTTGAGTTCAGAAGGTGGTTCTTTTATAGATTTTTTTTCTTTAGTAATTTTTTCTTTTGGTTTAATTAGTTTTTCTTGGTTCTCGATTGGTCCCATATGTCTGCTAAGCCAATCTGATACATTGTTTGTTGATCCTTTAATATATTGTATTTTCTTAATATTGTAATTTCCATCTATTTCTAACTTCCAAGATTCCATCGTTTGATTTCTTGGTATCTTTCCTGCTTTAGCTACTCCTGTATTATCTGTTCGTATAATGATTGGTTTATTCACAATGTAATATTTCCAATTCTTTAAATAGAAGTATATTGCGTAAAGTTCTTTTTGTGTAGATCTCATAGTCTTTGGCTTTGTGTAAGGTATGTGATCCAAATTCAATTACTTCTTCTTCAGATTTAGTTAGGTCCTTATCTTCTTTTGTTCCATTTTTATGTGCTTCTTTAGTTTTGTAATGTGCTAATTCAGGGTTAATTTGTTTTAGTACTGCGCCTATTCCATTATCCGAGGCATCTGTTTCTAAGATTAATTGATATCCTTTCTTTGGATAGATTAAAGCTATTGCATTATATACTTTGTCTTTTAGTTCTTCGAATGCTTTTTGGCATTCATCAGTCCAAACAAACTTCTTATTTTTCTTTAATAGGTCATATATTGGTGTAGCTATTATAGCAAAGTTCTTAATAAATCTTCTAAAATAGTT